TTTCCCTATGCTCCTCTCCCTGGCTGAATGCAGCCTCTTAGAGATTTTTCAGTATTATCAAAGGACTATATAGTGGGTTGTAAATGCTCTCTTCAAGGTCCATCACCCACCCAATGCCAAAGTACCATTTTATTTTTCTCATCTCAAACCCTGAAGAGCAATATAAATGTGGACTTGGTGACACTGCTGAACTTCGTGTATGCTAGAGTTCAAAGGAAAACTCAGCACAGGTTGTCTGGGACACCTCATCACAGAGCCAGGCTAGAGGGCCTGCTGGCACTCTAAGAAAACATCAGATCAAGGTTTCTGCTGAGCACAGCAGTGAGTCAAGGGCTGGACTGCTGCTGTGAAGGGCAACAGAGGCTGCAGAAACACCTGGGCAAGGTGTGAAGAGGTACCTCCCAGGGCCAGCACAGCCCAATCTGGCTACCTGGGCTGGGTAGCTATGCAGACTACAAAGGGGCAAAGGGAGGAAAAGAAAAATCTAAAACACTTTAAGGAGTGGGGCTGACTAGGCTACCAGACCTGCTGCTGCTCATCCCAAGTGACTGCTGGGGGATATGTAAAGGGAGGGCATACAAGGAGGACCTATCGGCAAAATGATATTTAGGAAAAAAATGTAAATGTATTTTCCCAAGAAACTCTGCAACACTGAAATACTATCTTCGGGGGCTGACAGATGGTGTGGTGGTTAGGGTGCTGGACTCCCACATGGTCAACTGTGGTTTGAGTCCCAGACCTGGTGGCTTGCTTTCTCATTCTCCCTTTCTCTCTGTCTTTCTCTAGTCAAGTTGAAGAATGACAATAAACAAATAAAGTTAAATAAATAATTCTTAAAAAAGAAAAAAGATACTATCTTTGTGTAGTTGCATGTGTTAGCCATATTATTTATTAAAAAGAAACATTTTCTTGATATCAATTGGGGAAAAGAAGCTCATATTGCCAAAATATTTGGTTTTCATGATTACCAAAGTATTGTTTTGAAAATATGAGACTACCATAATCTATATTTGAAGTGATTTTTGTTTTAAACTAAGCTTACCTTTAGATTCTGATTACGACCGTTTGCCATTTCGTGGTTAGTTTTTCTGAAATCTCTTTCAGTCTCCACAAAGTTAAGTGAAGTACTAAATGTAGGTGCTGACAAACTCCTAGGTGTGTAGGCCCTGGGGGAGGATAAAATAAATGATCTTCTCATTCCTACTGATTAATAAACATTTTAGAAAAGTTATCCATCAAATGAGACTGTAGTAATCACAGCCTTTTTTCCTTGAAGGTAAAGGATTATTTCTTTAAAAGGATTCTCTGAGATGACATTTTATACATAAACATTATTTTAAATTCAGTACCAGAAAACTCAGACTAAGAACACTTCAAGAAAACTATTCTTGGTTTTAGTATTAAAATATGTAAGTCTTCATAATTAAATTTTAACAGCTTCAATCACCTCGGCATCTAAGCAAGCAAGTAAAAAGAAGCTTAGTCAATTTTTTTAAAAATGAAAACATTGCCATTATTTTATTTCCCTGAATCAAAACTTAAAAAATTTTTAGTGAGGGGCCAGCAGGTGGTGTAGTGGTTGGAGCACTGAATTCCCACATGGCCGACCGTGGTTTGAGTCCTAGACCAAGCAGCTTGAAACTCACACTGAGCATGTGTGCATGAGTGCCCAAAATTCTGAGAAGAGAATGAAGAAGGGACTGCGGCATGGCCAGCCCCCCTGGGGGGTGATTTCTAGCTTGTCTTCTAGCAAACGCAAATGCCCTAAAACAAAAATCCCTTTAAAAAAATAATTTTAGTGAAACAGATAATATGTTATACCAACGTTGATTTCTTTTTGTTCTTCTTAAGTTTACTTTGGCATCCTTTAAATTTTTTTCCTTTTTAAAAAATCATTTTATTTTTACATAACTATAGATTCAAAGGAAATGGCAAAAGATAACAGAGAAATCCTTTATAACCATCACTTGGCTTACCTCAGTGGTTATATTTCACAAAATTATAGTACAATAATACCAAAACCAGGAATAAGACACTGGTAAAATGTGAGTTTATAATTTCTGTTATTTTACTACATGAATAGATTTATATGGCCAGCAAGCATAGAGATACAGAACTATTTCATTACCTCAAAGATCTCCCTCTTTCCTCACCTTTATAGTCATTCCTTTTTCTGCCATACCTAACCCCTTTCTGCCATACCTAACCCCTAAAAACCAGTGAAATCTGTTTTGCAACTTCATTCTATAATATTTTTCAAGAACGGTATATAAGTGAAATCGCCCCATATATGATTTTGTGAGAGGCTTTTCTTTTCACTCAGCAGATATTCCTGAGACCCACACAGGGGGCCAAGCATATCAATCGTCTGTTCTTCATATTGTTGAAAAATATTGCCTACTTAGGGGAACCAGCAGTTAGCGTAATGGCTATATCACTGGACTCCCACGTAGTCGACTGCGGTTCGCATCCCGGATCCGGTGGCTTAAAACTCACGCCGGGTGCGTGTGCGTGCATGCCCAAGATCCCGAGAGGAGAATGGAGGGGAAGGGATTGCGGCGTGACCATCCCCCCTGGGGGGTGATTTCTCACTTTCTGTCTCTCTGTCTGTCTGGCGAGCGCACGCGCCCTACAGTGAAAATCTCTAAAAAAAAAAGAAGAAAAAAAAAGAAAAAAAAATATTGCCTACTTAGGTGTACAGTAGGGTGTGTACCCATTTTCAAAGGAAATTGTCTTACCAGTTTAAAGTTACAATTTACCACCACCATCCCCCCGCCTTTTAAAAAATTCTTTAAAAAAAAAAAAAAAAGTCGCAAACTACTTTCCCAGAAGAGCCGGGCCACTTTACATTTCCACCGATGTGCCAGAAATGTTACTTTTTTTCCTTTCTTCATTCATTTTTTTTTTCATTTTAAGTTACATCTAATCACTGTACATCTTTACAATGTACAACATGTAAACATTATCAACAGGTAACTTTTCATTTTTGTGCCTGCTAGCTTTTGTGTGTGTGTATGTGTGTTTTTCTTCTGATCCCCCCCTTCTACCATTACCTCCCCCCTGCTATACTGTCTCTAGTATCTATAGTTACCCTCCCTGCTGCCAAGCTTTCCAGTCTTTCAATTTCTGCTATAGAATGCAGGCATTTGAAATATATTAAATGGGACATACAATGCGTGGCTTTCATAGTTGGCTCACTTTACTTAAGCTTAGTCTATTTTAATTGCCAAATAAGTAAAGGTAGAACCCTGGCTGCTATTTATTTTCTTGTGAGCATACTCAAATCAACCTGTTGCCTATTTCTAACAGGATTTCTAACAGAGAGAGTCTGAGCCTTTGATAGATTTTTTTTTTTTTTTGGGGGGGGAGAGAGGGTTTTTTTTTTTTTTTTTTTTTTTTTTTGCTATAGGGCATTTGTGCTTGCCAAACAGACAGAGACAGACAGAGAGACAGAAAGTGAGAAATCACCCCCCGGGGAGATGGCCACGCCACAATCCCTTCTCCTTCACTCTCCTCTTGGGATCTTGGGCACGTAAACACAAACGCCCGGCGTGAGCTGAAGTTACCAGGTCCAGGACTTGAACTGCAGTCGACTACATGGGAGTCCGGCGACATAGCCATTACGCTAACTGCTAGTCCCACCTTTGATAGATTTTGAGAGGCCAGAGGCAGATGTGAGGGGCACAAGTCCAGGCTGTGTTTTAGCTTTCTGTTGCTAGAACCCTTATGGTCAAACTGGTTCCATTAAAGCATAGTTACATCTGATTAATATATCACCCCTCTTTTCCTACAGGCTTGGGCTACTGATCACCAGTATACACATATCCAGATGTTCAGTAAAACTCAGCAAAATAAATCTGACAACTCATAGATCATCTGATCGTAAACATAAGCCTTTTAAACCATCACCGTCTCTTCTTCTATCCCTCATTAGTGTGGTTGCTATTGGCGCCTAAAGCATCAAACACAAATGATTTTTAAATTTATGGGACAAAGTCATTCCACGTAGCAGCTTCTGGCCTGATAGTAACTCACTTGCTTTCGTAAAAGGCTTTAATTGGATTCTTTGTTGGTGTTCGACCTATAAAAATCAATCATACACAAACACAGTAATCAACGGATTGGTAAGATAAACATCATAAAACTTTTAAATTTCCTTTAAGATGATAGTAAGAACATCAAATTTAGGAAACTTGAAAGTAAACCTAAGCAATTACACATTTCTAGATAAGCTGAGTTTTAGGGTAGTGTCGATAAAATGTTATACAAACCTTGTCTGACATCCCATTACATGTGATCGTTGACAGGATGATAGTAAAATATAAACTGGAATCAGAAATGGTACCTGTCTTCGAGAAGCTCACAATCTTATAATCATGCTATGTTGGATGGCAACAGCTGTTAGTGAAACAGACCCGCTCAGCTCAGTACCCAAGATATCACATCTCAATGAAGAAAAGCAAAAACACATATGCTCACAGTGTAGAGTAAAGGATTTTCAGGCATTGGAAAAAGGAAAACAACTCAGGGTGGAAAAAAAAAGTGGCAGAATACAAACCTGCAACTCCCAGCCTGCACAACAAATTTCTGATATATATAATAAGTTCATACCTATGTGTGTTAAGCACATTATAAAATTAGTGCAACTTTAGTGCAAAAACACCAAACAGCTGTACTAAAGGATCTTTTCTTCAGGAAATAATTTTAATAGTTGAAAAAAGTTTTTAATATTTGTTTTGAAAAGTTTTTATTTTATTCAAAATTTCTGGACGGGCTTTTTCTCTACAGAGAATAAATAATAACAATTTGGCTGATGTCCGTTTCAAATTTTAAAAATATGCAACACATTTATAATTACCAACCAGACTATCATACTATAATACAATTCTACACAGATAGAAATGGAAAACTTGAGTGACTTGACCAAGATAATCCAACAAAGTACAAATTGTGTGAGAATTGATTTATGGTCCTCCATTAATCCAAGAAACCCACCTTCAAAGTTTTCAAGGGAATTCAACTGTAACCAAAAGAATCTTAGGTGAAATACCTTGGAGGTCTTCTATTTGTTTTTGTAACTTTACATGCTGCTGAATTAGATCCTTGATTCCCTCAGGGTCATTTTTACAGAGTTTTTGAGCTTTTAGGTTTGCTTGCAGGGCCCAGTCATATTCCCCCAGCATAGAAAGAGCATCACAATAACGATAATGACCCTGTTCCAAAAAGATAAATTTAATTTTTTTCTCAAAAATATGCTTAAGTTAAAGACAATATGGAAAGATATTTTATTTTAAAATTTATTAGTTACTTAAAATGTTAGACTAGGCCCCTATCAGTGGAAAAGAAATAAAAATACCTCAGGAAATAAAATTACCTAATGGGCTAAATAAAAAGTTAAGATTAATTAAGCAAATAACTTTTTAACAACTAATTAAAGATCAATATTTTTGCTTAAGAGATTTTTGTGCCTCCAACAAAGAATTAGACTTTTCTATTTTACTAATAAAGAATGAAATATAGTATTTTATGTCAAATAAAGTACGAAAGTCATTGTAACTTTTTTCAAAATACTTCAGAAAAGAGCAGTCTCTAAGTTAAAATCAGAAGGTCTGCCGCCTTGGAAAGGACAAGCGGCTTGTGTAGTCGTTTGTCAGCACCTGAGAAGAGCACAGGCAGAGAAGGGCTGCACTCAGGCTTGATTTTCCAACCACCTCTCTCCCCTTCAGTCAGCTCTTAATGATTGTATCTCTACATGTTGTTCCTGGCTTTAAGAAAAAGACTAAAGGCTCAGCAGGTAGCACAGTGGAAGTTAGGCACTAGGTTCTTACATGGTCCACTGTGGTTCAAGTCCTGGGCCTGGCAGTTTGAAATTCATGCCTGGTACATGTGCATGTGTGCCCAAAATCCCAGGAGAAGAATGGAGGAGAAGGGATGGTGACGTGGCCATCCCCCCATGGGGGAGATAATTTCTCACTTTCCCTCTTTCTGTTTCTCTCTCTCTCTCCAGTAAGCAAGCACACATGCTCTAAAGCAAACATCTCTCGTTAAAAATAAAAAAAAGGAAAAGACTGAAAACCATCCATTTATTCTTAATTCCAATAATACTGGTTTCTTGTTTTGTTTACTGAAGACGAAAAATGTTTGCTGGCTCCATTTATACACTGAGAAATCTCTATCAAGTATGACTATAATATAGAAAGCCAATGGTACCAAACCTAACTAATTCAACCAACTAGTCACAAACAGAACTTGTTTTGTGGGGCCAGTATCTCCATTAGAGAGGTGATTTATAAATAAAATAGGTTAGAAACTGGTGTACGGTCACACTTACACAGAGGCAACCTAAACAACCCTGACTGTGTGATACCTGATGCAGAGCTCTTTTCCTCTTTACTATATACATTTTGCAAAGAACACTCTGACTCTGAGAATCAAGGAGAAAATACAAAATTAAAAAAAGTGACCCTTTTAAGAAAGATCATCTTTCACTTAAAAAAGCCAGAAATGGGCTAGCGGTAGCACAGTGGCTAAAGCACTAGATTCTCACCTAATTGACTGCTGTCCAAGTCCCGGATCTGGTGGCTTAAAACTCACACTGGGCACGTGCACATGTGTGCCCAAATCCCAAGAGGAGAATGGAGAAGGGATCACAGTATGACCATCCCCTGGGGGTTAATTTATTACTTTCTCTCTTTCTGGCAAGTGCGTGTGCTCTATAGCAAAAATCTCTGTCCAAAAAAAGCCAAGAATAATTCTTTCGGTATGTGCTTTTATAGGTTTAGTGCACAAATCAACTCTGCTTTTCCTTAAAGTGTAGAAGCCCTGACAGCCAAGGTATAAAAACATAAGAGATCTCTCAGATACTATACACAGTCATAAATCTTATCCTTTAGACATTTTTCAACTTCAAAGTTTATATATCTGCATATAAAACAAAACACAGGCTGGCAGATGGTGTGGTGGTTAAGGTGGCTGGACTCTCACATGACTGACTGTGGTTCAAGTCTCAGACCTGGCAGCTTGCTTTCTCACTTTCCTTCTCTCTATTTCTCTCTGGTCAACTTCAAAAAAAATGACAATGAATAAAAATAAAATAATCCTTAAAAAAATAAAACATAGCTAGCACAGAAAATGACAGCTGATAAACCATTCCTGC